AAAAACGAAACCGGTTAGAAGTTTATGCGATGTATTCGTTCTTATCGCGAACAATCTCACAAACATGCTAATGTACAGTTTTTGCTTTTCTATGCGGAAGCTCTAAATAACATGCTCTTTTGTGAAATGAGCAGTAGTAGAAAAAGAACTCTTTTTGGAATCTTAACTACACAATTCGTGTTTGTTGGAAGTATAAAACATAGTATTTGTTAAGGCTCATCTAACTAATATATGCTTCAGGAACTTTGAGTTTGCCTTGTGCGCTACGAGATTTCCTGCTTAGCATAGCAGTCATCTAAACTGTGGAAAATATTTTGAGTTATTTGATACTTGCCTATTGCCAGACCATATTGGTATGCACTACGGTGATGAATTCTCTGCTTATAAAGAGAGCTCTTATATTGCACAACTTATCTCCATAATTGTTCCTAGCTACGCCACTACAATAAAGAACTATGAAATGCAAAAATTCTCATTCTTCTAAACAAATAATTTATGCTGCTTGCCCATATGTACATGTAATAATCTCATCGTCTTCGTCAGGGTCTATGGCAGCACTGAAAAGAGCTGCATATGAACTTTGGCGCTTGTTACACATACATATATGTATCAGTAGGGTATATTAAATTGGCTGAAATTGATTTCGCTCTAACATGTAAGTAAAAGTTATTACAGAAGTAGGAAGTTGTCAATGATATAGGAAGTTTTTAGTCACTATACCTTCTACCATATTACAGTTTGAGATCAGGATGACCTGTCAAGAAAAATGTATGGCTACAATCACGTATGGTCTCCGAAAGTTATTTTTGTGAATTTCCGAATTTTGTGGCAGTAGAGGGTGCGGTGATAGATGCAATTGTAAAAAGAACAGGCTTCCGAACTCTTTGCAATCGATCTATGAAATTGTCGAATCCTTTTTTGGGTCATCACTTTGTCATAAACATTAGGAGATCTTGCTAGGACATTTAGATAACATAATTCTTATAGTCGTCATAAAAGACAATATTTTTTTCAAGAAAAATCCAGTAAATTCTTATAGTTCTTGCCTGCCAATTCCAAGTCAGATGCTCCTCAGAGATAAGCTGGCTAAGAAACACCTCGCCGGATCTTAAGAGTTTCATATCTCCGATACGGAATACCCAGTAAAAGCCAGAACGCCCCCGGAAGTGACGCGGACAAGAGCCCGAGGGTGCGGATAGTGGGCAAGGGTCACAGTCTACGAGCGAAGAAGAGTAGGAATGTGCTACTTGAAGACAGTCCAAAAACTCGATACGCTCTGATTAATGCCATTAATTCGGAAACCTTTCTGGGCGACGTCAAGAATTGGCGAACTTGATAAAACGGCGAGAGGATCTAGCCTATACAGGAAAGCAATGAAAGGGAGGAAAATCACGCGATAGTAGAGATGGTTATAGGCTTCTCTACAACGTAAGCAGCAGCGAAAGAGTAGATATGGCTGTCTCTGAAAGCCTTAAAGGGATTGCCGCAGTTGACGGATCAAGTGATCATGAGCATAAAGATTGACACGGGAGCAAACTCTTCAAATTTCACTGCCTATGTCTGCATGCCGGGTGGAAGGAGGATGAAAAGAATTTTCCGGCAGGACCTTGACGATTACATCACATCCTAACCACAGGATGAGATACTCTTACTTCGAGCAGGGGTCAAATGGGGGAAAAAGGAAATACAGGAAAGTGCCACAGGGATCACGGATACGGGGCATGCAATAAGGCGAACGCATTAGTTCGCTACAGCCTACAACCTAGCAGTAGTCACCACGTACCACAACAAAAAGCAACAACACCGGATTACGTCAAGTGGAAACTGTCGAGCACAAATTGACCACTGGGCAGTGCGTTATAATAACTTTAAGAACATAGAAGAATGCAAAGTTATCCCATATAAAAGCTGCACATCTCAGCATAAGCTGCTACTTCTAGACCTTAATTTGGTTGAAAGACAAGGAAGATCCATGACTGACAATTAAGTAATCAAGTGATGGAAATTAAAGGAGGAACTATCTGACCATGAATGCTCTGACTACTCTACCGGCCTCATCCAGTCATGGGCAACCTTGAATAGTACTGAGGTAACAAGGAATACTAAATGTACGAAGCCAACAAGAAGAATCGATAAAGAAACTTGGTATTGGAACGATGAGGTCCAAACGATGAAGGAAAAGAGCCAAACATACAAGCAATGGCATAAGTCGAAATTGGAATGCAATCGAGAACGGGTTTAAAATGAAACGCAATACTACAAGCTTAAAGAAAATTGGAATCTGTGAGAAAGGGCGAGTTAATAGCTAAAAGAGAAGCAGAGTCCGCAAAAGATGTGGACTCTTCTACAACATCAAAGACAGGCTTGGAAATACCTTGAGAAGACCAAAGGAATCAAGTATAAGATGGCAAATGCAATACAAAAGATGTCGTCCGCTATTAACGCTGACAGCCACACTATCAGCTGATCTTGTGAAAGGATCACTGCTACTCATTGCAGCAGAGAAAGTATGGCCTGCGATAACAAAGAAAAACGGCAAGGACCATGACGTTATTTCATTCTCGAGAGAATACGGAAGCCTCGGTGCCTCTTGGCTTGCAGGTTTTTCCAGGTTCAGGTTTCCACCATAGCTAAGAGCATGCCTCACGACTGCTCAAAGGGCACAAAGATTCCGATATGGAAGGATAAAGACGATATAGCGGACTGTTCAACATATCGGCTTATCCTGCTGATGAGCCACAGTCTGAAGGTCTTTGATAGAATACTTAAATCACGACTCTGAGTAATTGGTAGTGAAAGATGTTTGTACTATTGTTTGTACTATTTTGTACATACCGTACGCATTTTGGTGGAGAAATAGAGGAAGAAAAGAGAGCTACATGCGACTTTCTTGGAAATGGAGGAAGCTTCCGACGAGGTGCTCTATGGTGCCCTATGGGCCCAATAGGTGAAAATGATCTATCACGGAGCTACAAGCCATGTGCAAATTGCGCAAGGGTAAAATTATTCCGCCTAAAGATTGGCGTAATCTAGGAATAGGCGTTCTCTCCTCTACTCTTCATCACAATCATGGACGCAGCGATGGAAGGTTTCAAGCGACAGCTCCGCGGGGTTCCCTGTGTGCAGATGATGTGGAGTTGATGGGGGAAAACAGAAGGACTTGGAGAAAAGGTAAAGAGATGAAGGATCAACTGAATCGTATTGCTTAAGCTCAACACAAAGAAGACAGAGATATGGAAGGTCAAACCT